ATGTAGATGCGATTCGTGGAGATACCAGCACTAGTACTGCAAGGAAAAAGGGAGAAACTAAAACATTAGAGCATTTCCTAGAGGAAACATTTCAGGTTCAGAGATACATGGTTGCAACAGGACAGAAACTGATGGAAGTTCAGTCCAAGATTTCATCCGGTTTCGTCGAGGTTCCTGAAGAGCTTGAAAAATCTGCTGGAAGCTTTGACATGAAGCGTTTTGCTGACAACATAAAACCCCTTTTTCAAGAAGTTCAAAGAGGTCTTGAAGTTCGGATTGCTCGAATTATTGGTGATCTTGAGGGCACTCTAGCGTGTGAGGGAATGATTCGTATGAAAAGAAGGTAGTAATAGGAACCATAAATGTTTATACTTATGTACACACACATATATACGAATCTATGGTTGAATTTTTGTATAGAAAAATCACATGCAATCTATCACAAAGTTTGCCTTTCATCTGTTTATGCAACGAGTTCCAATCAAATAATTGATCAGCAATTACAGAAGGGTCCAGAGTGTACTCACCATGCTGTTGCTGCAGTTTGCAAAGCTAAATCTCTTTCTCAAACCATTTTAAACACACATCTCGGCTCGATTCATTTAGAAAAATATGCAAACTGGTCCAAGATTCATTTATGATTTAACCCTTAAAACAAAAAAGAATCTTTCAAGTTCCTCTGCACCAGCTTTCTGTCAATCAAACTTAAAAATGGCCGGGAATCTGTCTTTCAAGTACTTCTCATGAGCATTATTGTTCTTCTGTAAAAAATGGGAAAAAACGACAAACTTTGGTACAGCCACCGCGTGAATGAATGACTCGCTACATCAACATTATTGGCCTCTCACAGAACCCTTGGAACAGAGCAGCTAGCTAGCTACCTCCTCTCTCATTTGTGGCTGTGCATGTTCTCCTCTTTTTATAAATACATACCCAGGTGAAGATGTAATCATATATATGTATCTGTGTTCAAAGAAACTTGATGATCATTAACAAAGATCGAAAGAAACCCAAAAGATCAGAAGTAGCAGGAGGCAGCAACAACAGCAGCGAGTGTTGGAAGAGTCTTTGGTTTGTCCACTGATGATCAAAATGTAAGTTCGTTCTATTACCTTGCCCAGTTTTCTTCTGATCTCTTTGATGTTGCTCTTTTGTTTCTCATCTCACTTTCTTTTTATCTCTGATTTTATCGATCGGTCGAATCCAGTCTAAACTCAACCATGCATTTTCATGCTTAATGTTCAGATTCTCTCGTGAGGCAAAAAAAAAAAAAAAATGCAGAAGAAAAAACGTCAAGTGCTTGACAACTATTTTCTCATTTGGGCATGGAAGGCGTAGGAAAGATAAAGGTAATTAATCTCTCGTTGATTACACCTAAACCTAAATTTTTTTAATTTGTTGTCTTTCTTTTCTTTTTTATATATAAATAAATGAAAGCAAATTAAGTTAATCGGTGGGTTTGGTTGTCAGAAAATTTGAACTTGCAAGAAAATACGGCATAAAGCCTTGCAAGGAAGAATGTAAATTTTCACTATTCTCGCTTTAGTCCTTGTGTTGTATTTTTATTACAAATAGGCTCTCATTTGGAATTTTTTTATCCTCGGATTTTTTAAAACTAAATTTTAGTTCCTATATCAAGAATATTTCACAATTAACTCTATGCATGTCAAAGTTTCATTTGAATTAAAATTTTAGATAAACCTTTTTACACTTAGAGAAATAATTTAAATAAATTAAACTAATATGCAGGATGCGAGTTAAGTAGATATCTATATCCATTTAAAAAATAGATAGATCATATATATATATAAACTTGGTGAATCTAGGTATTAGGGATGGGGGCAACCGCCTCTGAATTTTTCAAACAATAAAAATTAGAAATAGATGAAAATTATGAAAAATACCCTAAAGCATGTTACACTCTAGACAAATAATAAAAATATAAATGCTTGAATGACGTAAACAACTCAAGTTTTTTGACAAATATGTGTCGAATTAAGCTAGGTGTGTCAATATGAACAATGTCGGATTGCATGGCATAAAGAGTCATGACTGTCATGTATTTATACTCGAGTTAAGCTTATTCTTCAAGAAATTGACTTCTACCGTTATTAGAATTGAAGATATGAGGCGTTTTGAGATAAAAATACCTTTAATTTTGTACAAAGTTGAACGCATATTCCATCGAGTTTTTTTGACTTAGTGGAACATCTTTCGGTCCACTTGGCATATGAAGCCAAATTAGCGGGACCAATGCAATATCGGTGGATGTATTCATTTGAAAGTTTTAAAATATTTGTTAACTTAGCTAGGTACACAATGCAAATATTTTTGACAAATAAAAAATAATGTAAAGAAAAAAGCGAGAGTTAAAATATTAATATGCAATGCATATTTAGTGAAAAAAACATCAACATTTTGTTCATTCTATTTTGAGCCTCATGTGCATACTAGGTATCGAAAAGTGTCACGTAACTATGAGTATGATCGAGAATTAAGTGATGATGTTGAAGGGATGCTTGCTATATTCAAACCGAAAGGTCGATCTCTTGGTCGAGCCAAATCACATATGTTGACAGATAAAGAAAAACTTGCATCTTACATCTACATTTTATTGAATTGGAATAAGATGACACAGAGTAAGTGTTAAAATTAGCAAAATTTTCAATACTCAATTTCATTAATTATCAATTATATATAATAAAGACATTAAAAATCTAAAAATTATTTTTCCTTCGATAGCTATTTCGTTAGCCAACTTCATCAAAATAATCTTTACATATCGAAGCACAAAGTTGATGCTCGGTTTAAAAATGATTTTACATCATGGTTTCGTCGATATGCGAGTATAATCAATTTTGAATTCATTTTGTTAGTAAGATGCAATAATGAAATGTTATACTAATAGTAAGAAATGGATTTCAATTTTACGGACAAGTAATGCACAACCCAACTCGAGCATCGATTAATACATTAAAAAAGTCCCAAAAAGGCCCTTATAAATAGTAAAATTGTATTTGGAATACATTATGAACGGATATAAGTTTTACATCAAAGATCATGGTTCAAATAGAGCAACAATGTGTAGTGAAGTGTATGTAAAAGGAGTTAAATTTTTAGAGATAAATAAAATGTCTTTAAATTAATGACGAAATCCTAAAATCGTCATTTAAAAATTAACAAGGAGTTTTTTAGCAATGATTTTGAACCATCTTTAAACTCGTCGTTAAATTTAATCAACTCAACGATAGTTTAAACCTTTGCTAAATGATTTTTTTTTTTCGTAGTGCTGGATGGGGAAGATGTGTTTGGTTTATTCTAGCCAATTCCATCTCATTTGCTCTATCTACTACCACCGGTATACTTCCTTATCCTAAAAGTAACATTTTGTGTTCTTGGCAAGAGAGAGGCACATCTCCTTAATCATTTTACTTTTTTTCTCGTATCTCATTATGCATGACGTTTGTAGTAAGATGAAGTTACTATGTTTGCCGTAAGGAGGAGTTACTCCGACTACGACCAACTAACTACGAAGATATTTGTCAATAAGGAACCTTTTGGGTCGAGTTTTTCAAAAAAGATTGGTTTAGAATTTGAGTGTTCCATTGTTTCACGATATATAAGTACTCGAGTCAACCATTTTTGTCGTTGGAAAATTACATTGGGTTGACAATTTTAATAGGGCATGGTAGTGCATTCTGCTCCTTTTCTGCTTTGTAGTGACAAGTTATTTTTAAGCTCGTAAGATACAGAAAAAACCTAATAAAAGAAAATTCGAAGAAGCCCGTGAAATGAAAAGGACGAGACACTATCAAAAAAAAAAAAAAAGATAACAATCTGTATTGTTCAATATATCAAGTGTTTTTTTTTCACACAAATAGACTCGACTTTCATATTCATATGCTTTATATATGTTTCTTGTAGATTTTATAATATATTATATTTTTGTAAAAATATATAATAAAATCATACTTCCAATCATATAAAGTTTCTTCCCAATTATTAAATCAAATGCTACTAACAAAGAAAGAAAGATTAGATTGGTTTCTATGATGACTTTTAAAAATAAGATAGAAATTGGGATATAGTTATGTGCTGCTATACTTCTAATTAATTTTCTTCCACCATTATTGAATTTTTGTATAGAAAGATTAATATCAATAGTGTAACGTTTGCTAGATTTGATATATTTGCAATAATATTGTTCTGATGCTTCAAATTAGCATATGATAATTTTGTAAATACTAACGAGTACTTAATTAATTAGTGAAAGTGTAAATTTTTACAATCAGTTGATTTTCATAGAAATTTTCTATTAATATATAAAATTCGAATCTTGGAATCAGAGATTAAATTTTGTAATTTTTGTTTTAAATAGAATTAATTATATTTTCAATTATATAAAGTTTGGCACTAATAAACTAACGAAGAAATCTCAAGCTAAGAAAAGCAGTTGGCTTCCTTGGGGAATTAAAAGCAAGGTTTTATGACGTTTTAGAAGCCCGTATGTCGTGCTTATCTACACGACCAAATTGTAACCGTCGACGTCATTGTCTCTCATACTTTCTTCCCACCTTATTAAATCAAAGAAAGAAAGATTAGATTGGTTTCTATGATGACTTTTCAAAAGAAGCAAATTCGCAAATGACTGTTGATGGTCGTTACGATAATAAAATAAAACCCTACATCTTTCTATCGTTGGGACCCTCTCACTTGCCCACCAATGTAAGAAAAATTGAACAAGCCATTATCTCGTGAAGTAGTAGAAGCGCCAGCAGCAGGAGGAGCGTTTGTTAGTTTGTGACTCTCACCATTCACATTCAGTAATTCACCACCACCACAACAACCACCAGCTCCCCCATATATCTTTCTTTTCCTAACTCTAAAGAAAAAACCCATCTTTCCATCTACAAAAACATGATCTGGGCTTGTCTTATTCTTTAGAGAACTTCACTTCTGCGCACATATGTGTATTTTGTTATATAAAGAAACTGGTACTAATGGGGTCTGATGAGCTAGGTTATGATCCAAGTGCTACACCGAAACTCTCCTTGTTTTCACTTCCAAGCAAGCTTCATGAGTCACCAGCAGGGATGTTGACACCACCAATCCATACGTTAGCTTCAGTTCCATTCAAGTGGGAGGAAGCACCAGGCAAGCCTAGACCTTCTTGTGTCACACAATCCAAGCCCAAGATTGCGAGGTGCTTGGAACTGCCACCAAGGTTGTTGAATGAGACCAAAGTTAGCAACATGCCTTCTCCAACTAATGTCTTGGATGGACCTTATGCTTCTCGTTCCTTGTCTCTAGGAAGAGGAGGTTCCTTCAGTAGTAATAGCAAAGAGAGGGTTCTTTTTGGGTCTGGCAGGTGGGGAAGTTTCAAGAGGAACAGTAAAGAAGTTGTTGATGCTAGTGTCGACGGTGGTGTTAGCCATGGAGGTGAAACAGGAGTTAAGATCACAAGAATCAGAAGGAGATCAAGTTTCTTGGGGTTTCCTCACACTAGATCACATTTGTTGGTAAGTATACCTAACTAGCTAAAAGTTCCAAGTGACCAATAATTTTTTTTTGTTTTTTCCAAATCTGGACATTAACTGGATGTTGCTAACTATGGCCATACATATGCAAGAACATATATCATAGAAAAGACAAATGCCTTCTAGGATGCCTTGGATTTTAAGGTTGATCATATCAGAACTATTTTTTGTTAGAATTCATATCATGCTTCAGATTTTCTGATTTTTTATTTTTATTTTTTATTTTTGTGCAATTGGAATAGGATTTGCCTGTAAAGTCATTGAGCTTTTTGATGTTATATACTAATATTAATTTCTGTACATTATAAATGTAAATGCAGACAAACATCTATGAAAGCTTCAAGCATGTGGTCCCATGGAGAAGAAGATAGAAATTGGGATCTAGTTATGTGCTGCTATACTTCTAATTAATTTTCTTCCTCCATTATTGAATTTTTGTATAGAAAGATCAACATCAATAATGTAACGTTTGCTAGATTTGCAATAATGTTGTTTTGATACTTCAAATTAGCATATGATGGGTACATTCAATTTAATAACGAGGATTTAATTAATTAGTGATAGTGTATATATTGCATGATTAATTACAATAAGCTGATCTTCGAATAAATTTTTTGTCAATATGTAAGGTTTGAATCTTGGCATCAGAGATTAAACTTTGTTGTTCTCGTTTAAAATAAAATTAGCTCTATCTTAAATATGAGATATAAATATCTGGATAAATAATAATAATAATTACTAAAAAGGATGTTTCAGTTTCTCTCTACTCTCATTCACTGTTACATGGATTAGTTTATTGCTATTTCTGCCAATTTGGCATGGCAAGAAAATTTTATTAATGAAAGATGAATATAAAATGAATTTTATAGTGCTATAATTGGACATCTAAGACAAGTAAAAGAAGATTACATTAGAAGAAAAAAATGAAAATATTAAAGCAAGGAGAAAATAGCCATTAATTATTTAAGCTCATATGTTTTTTCTAGGGCGTGGGTGCTAAATAAATAAATATTTAACATTTAGAACTAAAATGGCAAACTTATCAAAGTTTGGTGATACATCAGTTTCACAGTAGTTAGAATCAAGTGTTCATTGAAGAAAAAAAAAAACTGTATTGACGGCTCGATGAGTAAATTATAAATTAGTCTCACTAGTTTCAAGAAACCAATGAATTAGTCCTTTTTATGTTAAAAATTATTATCTAGTCTTTTAACAAGTGTTAATCATGCTTAATTTAATTTAATTTTTATTCCACTTTTCATATTTTCATTTTTTTCTTTTACAATTTCTTTAAATAAAAAATCAAATAAATTAAATATAAGAAAAAAAAGTATAAATAAATTTAAAAATATAAAAACTAAATTATTAGTTTTTAAAATGAGATGAACTAATTAATTTCGTAACGCGAGAAGCTAATTTATAATTTACTCGCAACTTTGATGATCATGTAAAAGCAACAGGACCAGTGAGTGAATAAATGTTTAGAATTTAGAACTAAAATAGTGATATATGCATCACTTTCACAATAGTTAGAATCATCAAGTGTTCATTCGGAAAAGAATTGAAAAGAAAAAAACTATAGCATGACAAAAGAGGGAAGTTCTGTCAAAAAAAAAAAAAAATGCCCAAAATCCATTGATGATCCTAGTGCAATTTCATCTACTAAATATTAATTATTTAAATCTTTTTTAATTTTTTATTTCATAAAAATTGGATGTTAAGTTACAGAGATTAATGTAAATGGATGATCACAATATAAAACGTTATATAGATCTAATATGATGATCTCGCAAATAAAAAATTCTAGTATAGCTATGAAATAGAAATTATTATCGAATCATATAAATCTTTTTATATTATATGATTGTTTTTATATTTTTTTATTATTTTTCTTGATTTGTTTCGAATCAGGTCTCCATTAATTAGTAGATTATTAGAGATGCACTGCAAATATTAATTCGAAAAAGTAGGAAGCTTGCTTTCGTAAAACATGAACTAATTACATTACAACTGATCATTTGTGCAACAAAATATCTTTTCATCGATGCCATTTTCGTCTTCTAGGAGACAAACTGAACACAAAAAAAACCATAGTTTCGAGGTCAGAATATATAAAAGGGACAACCAAGACTTGTCTCTTCTTCCAGCAAAAGAAGGACCATGACATATTAGCCAAAAAGAAAGTCAAGAATATGCGGCAGTAGCAGCAGCCGAAAGTCTTCTCTTCTTGTAGTTGGCCTTGAAACAAGCCTGCCTCAGCTTCTTTGTTCTTTCAGTCAGCTCTAAGTCTGGCAATTTTTCTATAAGCCTTTTGTGCTCCTCCAACATCATTGTCTCATACTCACTCAGCCCCATTTCCTGCATCACGCCCACCATTAAAACCATAATTAATCCTCAAAAAAAAAAAAAAAATAGTATCATACTTCCATTAAAAAATTAGATTTATAAGTGTGAGAAACAGAAATTAATTTGAGTCCTTCAGAGGAATGACCTCAATTGGTACCTCAAAATCCAAAATTTGAAACGTTTTTAACTAGATCAGTCAAATTATTAGATAAAAAATACATATTTCTCACCCCAAAAATTAATTATATATTTCCTTTACTGTTTTATGCGAGTGAATTATAAATCTATTTTCAAACAAAAGAATTAATTAGTCTTTTTTGTTTCAAAAACTAATTATTTAGTTTCTTAAAACCTTTATTCATCATTTTTTTTCATAATTTTCACTTATTTTTTCTTTGAAAAATAAAAAATAAAAAAAAATTGAAAAGGAACAAAAAGAATTAAGTTAGAATAAAATTTAAAAATATAAGAATTAAATATTTAGTTTTTGAAACATGAAGACTAATTAAATACTTGTTTTATGTCAAATTTACCGTAAGTTTCTCCATATAAGAAATAAAAATATTTTCTTTAATAATTAGTGCAAAAGCAAATATATATGCAAGAACCATGCACGTACCTTGACATTGTTGATAAGAGAATTCAAGCTCTTGATCTTCCTATGAGGCCATCTCATAATCTTAAGTTCTCTGCATCTTTTTTTCAATACAGTTAACCCAACTTTCATTTCTCTAGCTGCTTGAGTGATCGGCATGTTGAAATGCTTTTGAATTTCTTCCAATCCCAACTCAACCGACCTCTTCCTCCCACTTATCTTCCTAATCTCTTCTTCTTCTTCTTCCTTCATGCTTGAAGAGCTAGCACAGTCACTTTGCACCAATAACATTGAAACTCCATTAAATTGTTCACTCTTAGCGACATTGTTGTCAAAGTTTTGCCCATGTGAAGCATGGTTTAGCACTGGCTTTGTCTCCATATTGGCATCGACTTGATTATACCAAGAATCAAGATTACTTTCAGAAAAAATATTGTCACTGCTGATATCTTCAAGGTTTTTGAACTCACTGATGCTCTTGTCATAGGGCACTAAGGGCAGCAAATTTGCCTGGCTGAAAAGGCTTTCGAAGGGAGAAAGTTCCGAAATTCTATGAACAAAATATAACAAGATTGATTAGATGTTATGAAAAGTATAGGAAAATTAAGTACATCAAAGAAAATTCTTACTCTTGGAAGGTATGATCATGATCACCAAGATCCCAGCAGCAGGCACCAAAGTCAAGTGATGAATTCTCCATTTTTGGAACCATGACTTGTTGCCTTGTTGAATACATTAAGAAAGATAAGAAGGAAAGGAAAATTGGGGAAAGATAATTAGTGGGAGAAGAGATTAAGGAAAGGGTTATAAATTATGATGGAGATTAGAGATGGATTAATTGAAAAATGTGCACGTACATGAGAGTTACAAATCCATTAGAATGTATTTAATTATCACGTTTATTAATGAACAATTACCAATAATCACTCTTGGGGGCTGCATGATGTTTCTCTATTTAATGACTTTTTAAGAATCATTTAATTTATTACTTGCCATAGTTATTGTGCCTAGATACATTCTGATTCACACACACACATATATATGGGCGAATTTTTTGGATAATATTAGCCCAATGATAATTTATTAATTACATCTAACTTAATGTTTAATTAAATACACGAATTTTTCACAATTTTAATTTTTTGGATAATATTTTCGTTTTTTTTTAAATTTTAATTTTTTAATTATCATGCCCAGAATCCATTCTGATTCATTTATACATGCAAAATATCAACCCCAATATATATATATATATATATATCGTGATAATTTATTAATTCATCTAACTTAATGTTTAAATACACGATTTTTTTTTTCATGATTTTAAGTTTTTGGATAATAGTTATTGGAAAAAAAATTCAGCATCACAATGCAAGATTTTCTTTTCCTTTTTGAACATCTCAAGGTAGAGTAAATTATGAATTAGTCTCCTTATTTTTGAAAAAATAATTTAATCAGTCCTTTTTATGTTTTCTTGTTTTAAAAATAAAAAATAAATAAATAGCATTTTCGTAATTAAAAAGATTGACGAAAGAATAATATATATTTTTAAAGTAAAATATTATTGAATTAAATATAATCAATACCCATAAAATAATTAGTTTTTAAAATAAAAAAACTAATTTATTTATTTTTTGAAACTATTAGAAACCATAATTTTTATTCCATGTTGATAAGATCATGCATGAGACACGATGAACAATGCATGGATGAAAATACTTGTTGTAAATGATAATAAAAAAAATTAATTAAAGAAAGTAGGTTACATGGAGATTAACGAAATTGAATGCTCATAAATTCCCTCTTAAGATTTTCATCATTACCATCTCTCATCTTTGATTCTTTTGGGAATTTGGTGATTATTAATTGCTAATTATGGTTTCAGCCGTCACTGCCAGTAATGGCCTAAACCGTTTCTTTAATTAATATCTATCTCTTTGGGCTTTCTCAAGCCACCATTGTCAGACTTTGAGTGGACTTGGCTGGCTGAACCCAAGAGACCTGTCTGGCCACACTTGGGCTTGCCCTAGCTAGGCAACTACTTGCCCATATGGAGTCTCTTGATTTTGTTAAAGAAAAATCATTTTGTTTCGTCCACATGAGAGTTGGCTAGGAATGGACAATCATTCCACTTTTTCTTTTGGGGACACCAAATTGCCATAAATCACGGCTGTGATTTGCATTTCAAATAATACCCAAATTCCACTCAATGGGTCGGAACCCTATTCGAAAAAGATGAAGTGCTATTATTTGCTATGTGTTGCACCATTGTACCTTCCATGGAGGTTAGATCAATGCCCTACGTATCATTAACATCATGAGATTTATATTTAATCGAATAAGTACTACTATTTCCCCAATAAAATCATATATTAGCACATATTGGTTTTTGCATTTAGTTCATAAATACGGTAAGATGATTACGATTATACTTAACATTTTAGTCTATAAGATTAGCTCTTTTCATTCGTAAAGCCAAAACAATCTTTAAAAGACTACGGCAAGTTTGATTTAGTAGATGATTAGGTTTTATTGGCTAATTACAATGACATTGATGACATGCTAGTCTTCTATTAATGAAAAGTGTATAAAAGATGAGCGGATGATTTGATTTTTATTAACTAACTTATAATTTCATATTTAATATAAAAAATGTATATATGATTTTAGTAAAATACAATCATATAATTAGGATAATACTTGCCATTTTAATCTACACAAACTCTTCTTCTTCTTCTTCTTTTTTTGAAAGCTCAAATGTTCTTTGCAGGACTATCAAACATTTGATTTGATAGATTATCTAATTTTATTGGCCAACTTACAACGGCATTAATGGCATACTAATCTTTTACTAATTAATGTGTATAGAATGTGAATGAGTTATTAGATTTTTATTGGCCAACTTATAATTTCAAACTTAATATCAAAAGTAGACAAATGATTTTTATAAAATACGTTCATATAAGTATTATCGTGCTTAATATTTTAGTCTATTCGTATTTTTTTTCAAAAAACTTAAATGTTCTTTGAAAAAGATTATCAAATGTTTGATTTTATGGATGATTGAATATTTATTGGCCGATTATAATGACATTGGTGACATATTGGTCTTTTATTAGTGAAAAAGCATAGAAAGTGAGTGAAAAATTGAATTTTTATTAGCTAACTTGTAATGACATGGGTAAAATCTTAAATCTTTTTTATTAGTGAAGGTGCATGGAGTGTGATGGATGTTGGGAGTAGGCAAGAGAAACTTGGGGTGTGAATAATGATTGGTGCCACAGTTTAGGAGACTTCCTAAAGTGAAAGGAGAGGAAACCCTCTCCTGCTTGCTTAGGGTTCATAAAGTGCATGACAAAACTGCTGCAATGAGTGACCTCAAAGGTCACGTTTCTGTGGATAAGACAGCAGAAATCCCCCACTCTTCTATCAAGAAAGTGGAACTCATGCTCTCCTTTTGGCTTTGTGCCTGAAATATTCAGTTCCATTGCAAAAATATATGAATTTTACTATATATGTAAGAAAAAAACATATTAACATTACATGGGAAACTAAAATTAGTCTAGAATCAAGATAATTTGATTTCTTAAGTACGTAGCATATAAACGATAGCATTTCAAAAATATTTATTTTTTTAATGTTAAAATAACTTGTTATGTTTGAAATAATAATATAATGAATCTTGTTTTATAGATTAATTAATACTTTTAAAAACGTAATTTCAAAGCTATAATTTGTATTTCAAAATTTTTGTTATTAATTAGACTCTTTATATATATATATATATATATATATATTATTGAATTAGAATACTTATTTCTATTACTTTTATTATTGTTTCTTTAAAAAGAATTTTTTTTTGTTTTTGTTTTGTGACAGTTTAATTCAATCCCTTCTAGTTTTTTTGCATTCATGGAATTATTATAATTTTTTATATTTTTGTTTCGAATTATTCTTTAAATTCATTTTTATATTTATTGAATTTCTCTCTTCGATGTTGAATTAAATTCATAATTACTAATAAAACGAAAAAAACTCCAAATTCTGAATAGCAAAAGAGTGGATTTCACTAAAAATTTTTATAAGCTCTTTAGACTTTAGTATTTTTTTAATAAAATAAAATTCACAATTATTTTAATTATTTTATTTCATAACAAAAGTATATAAATCTTCAGGTCAACTAGTAAAAAAAAAAAAAAAAATATATATATATATATATATATATAAGACGTTGGGGCGCGTGGCTGAAACCCTAAGGAAGGAAGGAAGGGTGGATTGCTACTGTTGATAAGGCAGCAGCACTGTACCATTCAAGCGTGCCTTTTAAGGGCATAGAAACTTTAAAAAAAAAAAAAAAAGAAGTTGAGAAAGATAGTGATGAACAGCTTTGCCTTTCGTAAGAAAAGGAGTTACATGTTACAAAAACAAATTGTTGATGATGATAGGTTAATTCTACGGTTAAAATCACCCCCATCAATCATCAATACGTTCTTCTTCTTCTTCTGTTCATCAAGTGGGGAAAAAGGAGTCATATTGAGATTGAGACCTTGTTGGGTCATGTAATCTCATGGTGGTGGCATGGTAGGGTAGTGTTGGTAATGGCCCTTTAGACCAAACAAACGAAAACATGAGCATAACGGGTCCTACCTAAAAACCAAAATGATGAGAAAATGGGGTTCGAGTGGCAAAGTTTGAAAACCTAAAAATATATTGCCCCGGATTCTCTGGCTTTGCACAAGGGAATTTCTTTCATGAATTTAAGTAATCATATTTTGGATTAAATTTGTGCCTCAATCAAAGATTAAACCTTTTTCTTTATGGAAGAAAAATAATATTTTAACTGATGATTAGAAGAATAAAATTTGAATCCAATATTTTATTCCATTAATCTATGAATACAAGATTGAAAATTACATAATTATGTTTCATTTGGCTAGAAAATTCTATTCATGGCCATGTTTGACTTAATAAAAAAGAGATTAGAGATCACCTAAGAAGCCCCACCCCTCACACAGACGTGCTAACCTTAAAGCCTGTCTCCTCATCTTCTCTGTTTCTCCACTCCTACTTCTTCCTCAACTTCCTTCTCTCTCTCTCTCTCTACAACTCTTTTGTTTGCTTTTAATGGTGTCTATTTAGGTCCTTAGCTGTTCAAGACAACTAAAGTTGTCTTTTTCTGTCTGTTTAGTCAAAAATCTGTTACCAAACACACACAGTGGCCTCTGACATTTCACATTGGCCTATTTGTGTCGTTATTTGCAGCCTACTACCACTTCCCTCACTTTCGCATTAGCTGGTGGCTGGTGCTGCCTAGAATTTGAATGAGGCAAATGGGCTTTGGCTTATAATAGTCCCTCAGCCTCACAAGGAAACCAACAGTTTGCATCCTTTTGTGATAATTTCACAATCAGGTTAGTCTCTTGAACTTCTTACGCAAAACCCAGTTTGTCTTTATCTCTTTGTTTGATGAGAAAATGTTTGGGGCAAGGTTGGAACTGTTAAAGGAGTTATCTTTACTAAGTTGGCGCTAATGTAACTATATTTGATTAGCTAAGGAATTTGTAAACTTTGCTATTCCTGGGGTTTCCTATGAAGGGGGCATTGAAAAAATTTCTGCTTTTGTTATTTTTAAGGATTGGTTGTCACCTACTTTTCTTGTGCTTGTATTTAATTATTGATATGATTAGAGTATTGGTGAAGATTCAGACAAAGTAAGCTTTTTTGCAAGTTGCAGTTGTGAGGAAATTGAGTGTTTACTGTAATGTTCTTTATTTTTTTTGTGCTTTTTCTGTGTAGTTGCAGAAATGTGCAAGCTGCAAAGAGTACTGTCTGCCTTATACTAATTGTTTTTTATTAATGCGGAAATCCTGTTTGGAATATAGATGCTTCTGGTATCTTTTAACTTTGGCTTGTCATGAAAGAGAGTTCCTTTCTGTCTCTCTCTCTCTCTTGTTAGTAATTCTTTAGGGAATTTGAATTTTAAATTGATTTTATGTAATTCTTCTCTCTCACACTGGATCACGGTTTTTAGTATTTTAATCGGCATCTGATTTTGGGTTCTAAACATAAAGCAGACTTATGTTTTAGGGTTGCTGTTTTTCTCACTTCTTAGTTTCTGTCTTTGACATTGCTGCAGGGCATTTAAGAAAGTGGACTTTTATTCTCCATGGGTACAATGACTGCATCTTCTCTCTCTAGAGAGGCATCAAATTATGATGAGGCTTCTATGCAGCAGAGCTTGCTCTTCTCTGATAGCCTGAAGGTACTTAGCATAAAATTGGTTTGCTAGTCTCTAAGATAGCAAGTCAATATATATTTAAGGCAACTTTTATTTCATTTCCCAGGTTTTACTTTTCTTCATGATTGCGAGTTAGTGTGTCTCCGTATGTAGCATTTATTTTCGAGTCTAATTAGCATCATTACATGATTGGTTCCAACATTCAGCCCTTATAAAAGCTTCATCAGTAAAGTTCTCAATTTGTGGTTAGGCGTTTTGGATGTTAGAGTCCGTCACATGGTCACCATTCTAGTATTGTAATTTATGTAATTTGATTTGTGGCAGAATGTTTTTAGCTTGCAATAATTCTGCGTCAACTGGGGTTTTGTGTTTTGTTAACTTGTTCAGTCTGTCTGTTTACAGGATTTGAAGAATTTGAGAACACAGCTATACTCGGCTGCTGAGTATTTTGAACTATCCTACACGAATGATGACCAAAAACAGATGTGAGTTGTTGTTGCTCTTATTCATCATGTATGATGTTCTCAACTATGGAGGTTTAATATTTCTTTGTCATCTTTTCACCCCTAAGAATTCTCCTGTCCATGCAGAGTGGTCGAAACATTGAAAGATTATGCCATCAAAGCTCTTGTGAACACAGTAGACCATTTGGGTTCTGTGACATACAAGGTTAATGATCTCTTGGATGAGAAAGTTGATGAAGTTTCTGGAACAGAGTTTCGTGTGTCTTGCATTGGACAGGTATGCCTGAAACTTTCATATTTAGTTAAATGTTGGTAGATTTGGATTCTGTTGTGATTGAGATCCTTGTAAAAATAATCATTCATCCCTTGGCCTGAATGATAGAAATTGTTTACGTGTCCCTGGGAATCTACTTTAAAGTCAACAATCTTGCAATCATGAAAATTAAAATTGAAAGCAAGATGGAAAATATATTATAGGCTTGTAAGAAAAAACCTTAGTGATGAAACGAAGCTAGGCTGGTTATCTAGAAGAATAAGGCTTTGTGCTTAGTTAAGCATGACTAGATTGCTCCTTGACACAGAAAAAATATAAACAGGAAAAAAGTAGCATCTAAATATAGGTCAATTGCTGTCATGTTTGGGGATCACATACAGCAGAGAAGATGGTAAGGATGTGATTACAACATGCATAGACCATATTCTATAATCCTGGCTGATAAAAAGGTTATAAAATATAATTCCATTTTTGGTTGCATAAAGTTGAATAATGTTAAACCGATTGAATCTGAAATTAGAGTCTCGCTAGGGTTTTCAATGCAATTGAGGGCTCTACATTTGAATTTCATCAAAAAACATACATGTGCAATTTAGGGCTATATGGCTGTTTGCCCGCCGGTCTTAATTGATCGGGGGCCTTACCAATGGAGCTTGAGATGTAAAACTAAATTTATATCTGAATATTTTTGGAACATTTGTAGAGGGCTTGTTCTTGCTCTGATGATTTTCCCCTCATATGATGACTAATTGTGCATGGATGTTTGCTCTATAAATAAAACACCAATATGTTTCTAATTATGCTCATCACTGAAGGATGGCAACAAGCTACTGACTTCTTTTGATCTCTTTCCTTGAACATGGTATGCTAGAGATTACGGACGTGTCAAGAGTACATTGATCATGAGGGCATCTCGCAACAGTCACTGGTGATAGACACTCCAAAGTACCATAAGCGGTACATCTTGCCAGGCAATAATGCTTATCTTTTTCCCCATTCTCTTATTGTCTGCATGTATATACACATCCTTAAACCTTTCTTCTGCGTCTTTTATTCTTTCTCTGTATTTGGAGATTTAAAGCAAATATACTCTTTGGTACATGTTCAGTCGGGGAGACTATGCATGGTGCTGTCCGCACTAAATCAAAATACCAAGGGTGCAGCCTAGATGATGAAGATGAGTGGTATCAATTTAGAAATGGTGGGGTGCCTTGCCTACTGTTTTATATCATTGCTTGTGTATTGGTAAACATTGGATCACAATTTGACCATTCTGCCATCTTACTGTGCCAAAGCTGTTCGAGCTACAATTACAGAAACCCCAACATCTTCTGCGAGGGAAACTCCGACATCTTCTGTGAGGGAAACCCCTATGTCTGCAGTGAATTCAGTCAGGTATGAAATGGTTTTCTAAGTGTCAAATTATTGTGATTTTTTATTTAGAATATGCTAATGTAAAGTTGCATTCCATGCAGAAGGGGGCGTTCCCCATCACCTTCTGGACGACCTCCTCCACAGCGATCTGCAACCTTTTCCTTTACATCTACCATGCCCAAAAAAGAATCAGGTTTGTGAGCATTCTGCAGTGCGTTATTTTGAAACCTAGTCCTTTCTCTGTTTTTTTTTTTTTTTTTTTTGGGTGAAGTTCTCAAAAGTTATATTTCTTATATTCTATTGTCGAAGAAAATTTCAAACTCAGTCCTTATATACTGTTTCTGTTCTGTAACTGATGATGCCTGCTCACAAATCAGAGAAGCGAACCGTTTCACCACATCGTTTTCCACTCTTGCGTTCTGGGTCTGTGTCAAGTAGGCCAACAACTCCAAAAACAAGTAGGCCTACCACTCCAAAAACAAGTAGGCCTACCACTCCAAGTTCTGCTCCTGCCAAAAAAAGGGTATGTCTTAACTTCATCCATCATTATATTAGTTGGAAAAAATTGTGGATTAATGCATTGCTGCACTTGTCTTACATGAGTTAGAATCATAATGGTCATTATCTACTTTGAACATAAAATTATAAGCTGATTATATGGAATATTTGTTCTGTTCTGCAGTACCCTTCAGAGCCTCGAAAATCTGCATCAATGCGTCTCCAAGCTGAGAAGGAAAACAACAAAGATGCAGAACAATACCCCAGTAAAAGTAAGCGTCTTCTCAAAGCCTTACTTAGCCGGCGCAAATCAAAGAAAGATGACATGCTATACACTTACCTGGATGAATATTGAGAGAAAAAAATGATAAGCTAAAGGAGGCAAGGACATGGGCAACCAGTGTGAACCTGTCTTGCAGTTTTTCTATATATTCAATTCCATTTTTACTTCGAACAATTTCTTTTTGGTTCTTACCGAGCAGTAGATAATATTGTCATGTAATAGTCTTTCCTTTCAAGTGTAATATTATCCCATGTACCCTTAGACAACCATCCTATTGTGATGCATTTTGTTGAGGTACACCAAGGTTAATTATCCTTGCAAAAAGAAAAGAAGCAAATCATTTCTTTGCAGAAATTTGTGCTATTTAGTTCTATCTAATTTTTGTTGTACATTCACATCATGCAAAACTTAGCTTGTCACTTTCTTGGGTTTCTTAACCTTGTAATCCTCCTAACAATCTTCTTGGGTTCTGGATTTCTGTTCGTATGTGAGCCTAGGCATGTCTTTTTGGATGGCATAGACAAATTCTCACAGTTTAGGCATAGCAAAACAGAAATAGCTAAAATTAGAATGCATCGATTCTGTCATATGAGTCGTAAAATGATGCCTAAACACATGGGTGCAGAAAACATCTGATGATTGCTAGGTGGGTGGCCGGCAAGGGAAGGGGAGCATTGTTCACAGAAAGGAAGTTTGGAGCCTGTCATTATTTGTCTTCAATAAGCACTTGATTCAATAGCTTTAAATTCTTCTTTTCCAACATGTCTCGTGCATATCATGATCAAATTACAGCTCAAACTAAAGATTTTTCAATCCTGCATATGGACTAAGGTTACAAGAACTACAAAAGTTTGGGAATACTAATAGCATGTCACAATGCCAGTACTTCTCCAAATTCCTCAATTGTTTTTGTTGCAAGCGTAAGGACGTCCACAAAAGCAGAAAATGATGCTCGGAGAAATCTCGCCTCAACTGCCTCAAAGTGCCTATGATCACAGGAAAAAACAGATAATTAGAAGGTGAAGGGGTTGCCAAACTGCAATGTACTTGGCAATTTCGTACAAGGGAAAGGCATGGGTGGGTTATTATTTTACAGACACCAAGGGAACACACACTTGACAACTAAAGGTAGGAAGAGAAAAGGATAGCTAACTTCCTGAATCTTCTATTAGTGTGTAATTTTATTACTTAAAAAACAATATATATTCAGAGGATATTGTTGTATTGCCACGGCTATTATAGACCAGCTGCAGCAATAGAAGTGGCAGGGTGTAAAGCATACAAAAATATAGCAGACTGGTTCATGATCACACTTGTAAGGGACAGTTCTTTCAGTTGTTTCCATGATTCAAGCAAATGAAATTCATTTTCGACCTTGAGTTACTCGATGTTTATTTGTATCTTCCAAGCAACAAACAGAGCAAATGCCTGCTTCATCAACAGTTGCCAAGGAAAAGGCAGCGAAACACATAACAAATAACTATATTTGTGATGCAGAAACACAAGAATGTTATGCCTAAAGGGATGAATGGAGTAGTTAAATCTGATAATTCCACTTCACAGAGATATTGGATTGTCAACTTAAAGCAATTTTAGTCCAAAACATTCGATCTTGAATGGGGGAAAGAAAAACTGGATTATCAATCGGCTGTATACAGCCAAACTCTTTATTTTTTTTATTGGCAAGGAAACAAGTATTAAAAAACTCCAAGTTCATCCAAGAAGAAAAAGGTATAAAATTTTAATTATCGTGCAAATAATTCAAAGCAAAAGTTAAAATCAGTAGATGCTCAAAGTATCAAAAAAGATTGAAAACATTTCATTCTCGCCATCCTAACAAATCCATTAAATTCAAACTATAATCAGAAAGCAAATACTGATAAAAGCTAATCATCACCACGTAAACAAACTTACACCGACAACTTCCCCTCAGAGACTGACATCAGCCTTCTCACTTTATCAGGTTGCAACTGCATTGGGAAAAAAAGAGCAAAATAAGGATCTAACTAAACAACAATCAATGCAGAGATGAAAGGATGCAACTGCTTCACCTCCTTATCGACAGCTAATGCTGCATAGATTATAGAAGCATTCTCCTCCGACCCAAAATCTACTTCGAAGTCACTGCAGAAGACAATTAATTCTACAACATCAAACAGTGTCTTATAAAGAAATTCTCAAAAGTAAATGAAACACTAATTACCATTGATGCCACTTGAATAGAATCATTTAATACAGCATGCTAACAAAACAGTTTATGTGAATTCGTCGTATTTCCTTACATAGTAGAGATTCTCTTCTATCTGAATTCATTCGTCAAGACTATAACCATTACCTGATATTCTCAGTTTGCTAGTACTGTTTGCTCACATTCTTTAAACGTGTTTAACTCATTTATTGCTAAATATCAAAAAGATTCACAAACCACAATATAGAATTTGGAAATTTTGCATACATAAGCAAATTGCAAAAATGCAATAACGAGTTAGCCATGTGCTAGTAAAATCCTACTAACTTATTAGTCATTATCAAAAGGCTACATTTGTTTGCTCATGATTTCTATAAAATTGTTATCAAAATGGAATCTACACACTCTAAAGTTAGAGAGGACCAACATATTATAAGGAAAAAACTTTATTTTCTTCAACATCTGTCCTTCAATTTCAAAACAAGTTCCTTTTCATGTAGCTAAGTTGATGAAACCAAAATTACGAAAAGAGAAACCAAGCCAAAAAAAAAATAATAATAAAGAGCAATGTTCCCTTTCCCTTTCCCTTCATTTCAAGGACATAAAAATTGGCCTCCTTTCAGCACAATAAAACTCAAAAACTAATAACTCTAAATCACAAATTTTTAGCAATTTTGATATCAATTTGGCACTGCAAATCAATTAAAAAGAAAGAAAAAACCACAAACAAGAGAATCACTTCATAGGCGAAGCATTTCAAAACTACTCATATACAGAATACAACACCAAAGATCAAATCTTTATTTACTTTACACAATTAGCATGGAATATGAACCAAACCCAAATCAATTCTCAAGTCAATGCACGTAAGTGTAACAAAAATATCATGAAAAACATGACTGTACACAAGATATTGCAGGTATAAGTATGACGTTGAGAACAAAAAAAAAAAAAAAGAACTCCAAGAAACTATAAAGACAGAACAAAAACATAGTGAAACTCAAAAGGTTATGGTAACTAAAGAGAAAGAGAAAAGAGAGAAAAAAATACCAGCTAAAATCCCATTGGGCATCCTTAGTAGCAGCTGCTGCCATTACTTCCTTTGGCAAAGATTCTTCTCCTCACCCCCGAGTTAGTCAACGATGTCGTTTTATGTCCTAACAGTGAGTGGGAGGCTTGTTAAAACTTTGGACCTTATAGAGTAAATTATAAATTAGTCCCTCTAATTTTGTAAAATTAATTAATAGTTCTTTTTGTTTGAATAAATAATTAATTAGTCTCCATATGTCTAAATATATTTGTAATTTAGTCCTTGTTTCTTTTCAATTTATTTTATCCTTTATTTTAATAAAAAATAAAAGAATAAATAAATAAATAATATAAAAATATTGATCTGATTAGAAAAGAAAACAATTTTCCGTTCTGTTTCTTTTCAATTAATTTTATTCTTTAATTTAATAAAAAGAAAAATATAAAAATAGTAAAAAATATAAAAATATAAAAATATTGATTTGATGAGAAAAGAAAACAATTTTACTTTTCGTTTCTGTTCAATTAATTTTATTCTTTAATTTAATAAATAGAAAAATAAAAAAATAAGTAAAAAATATAAAAAATATTGTTTGGATGAGGAAAAAAAGACAATTTTATAATAAAATAATATTAAATTAACCATAATCGACACCAATAAAAGACTAATTAAATAGTTTTTTAAAAGAAATTATTTGATTCATTTTGCAAAACTAAAGGGCCTAATTTGACTAATTTGTAATAAACTTGTTAAGGTGAAATTATAAATTTGGCAAATATATGAGTATATTCCAACAGAATATTTTTTTGAAATTGGTCCCTCTCTGTCTCTGCCTTGCAAGTTATTAATTATTATTGGCTGTCATATGGTATATTATTTGGCACATTAAAAGAATCTCTCTCTTTCACTATATAATATTTTGTCACACATTTACTACTTGCTTTCTTTCCTTCTTCCAACCTCAACTTCTCAACCAAAAGAAATGCTCACACCAGCCATCTTCATTTCAGGATTCAGAAATAACTTCCAGCCATCAAATTCCTTCTCTCTCTCTTTCAAAAGGTAAATACATACAAATTCTCTAATTTGTTTTTGTTTTCTGTAATAACTCTGTATCTAAAGAGAACTTTCTTTTTTTTTTTTTTTTTTTTTGTTCTAGTGTTTATATTGAGGGAAAAAGAAGAGACATGAAGTTTAGTTAGGGATGCTTTGAATTTATCCATAGAAGTGCTCTTACGTGCATGGCCTGAAATCAGATTTGTTTGCAACTGTTCATCGTTTAGGTCTCTCTTCTCTGCATGATTTCCATGTTTGTCTTGCTTGGTTTGCATTTGCCATGTGTTTACTTTTGTTTGGAATGAGTGGAGCTTTACTCTCCAGCTCTTCGAATAAGTTACTGTCTTGTCCTGAATCATGATGCTTTTAAGCTTCTAGTCACGTAGTCATGCTTATGCAGTAATATGCTCAAATTTAGGCCTTTTCTTTTATATATATCTCAAAAAATAATTTGTTTGCAACATACATACACAGAGGAAAAGGAAAAGGGAAAAGTTTTTCTGGAAAGGGGCTGGTATACAAAGCCAAATTGTCTGTCACTTGTTTTGTGACTTCTCCATGTTGTTCTTTGCTAACCCTTTATTGTTTTTTTTTTTTTTTTTCCTTCCTCTTCTGTTGTGGCTGATTAAAACCGGTTTGTTAATATCATTGTTGTTCGTAAACGAGATCCAAGGGTTTGAGATATGCCTTGATGGTGGCTTCAGGTCTCTCTGTACAGCCTCCTGGATCGCGGTCGTAGTGTTAATTTATGTCAAGGTACAGCCAGCTTCACTTTGTTGCTCATTATTCTGAATGTATAGTGCCCAAGTTAGGGTCGCATAGAGATGCAGCGCCATGGGCAGGTACGAGTCAAATAAGCCCTGCAAAATGAACAGGAAAAAACCGGTTTCAGCTGTTTCCTCTTTGCAGAAGAATGCCTTGAACAGAGAGAGTGAGAAGCGGGATGAATTTACCTGTAAAGGAAGAGGAAGGGGGTGGGGGGTGTTATTGACTATTAGCTTATGTGAGGGAAGTTCCAACTCTGGCTGTGTGCAGACTTCTTATAGCCCTTCGTATATACTCAAACATGAACATAAAGAGACCAAAGACATATGATATGCTCAGATGCAGCTTTTCGGCTATGCAAATCGTTGAACTGGCATCGTTTTTACTCTCTGCAATTGTTTTACCTAATAATGATCCTTTTTCTGACCACCCTGGACAAAATAAAAAAACAGAAAATATTAGCGCATGAACTTGAAAGAAAAGGCATTGCATGGTGTTTGTGGGATAGGACCAAACATCCACTCTTCCACCAGGTTGCAGTCACAAAAGGAAACTATGTGCTTCATCAGTGAAGTCTTTATAACTGGTTCCTGTTAGGAAGGTTTCTTGACGCATTTTCTATCTTCAACCACTTTAATGAAAAGTATGTTCATAATTCGTTGCTGAAGAGACACGAATCCCTTTTAGGAGGGTGCAGGCCAAGAATTCATCAGAATTCATGGAGTTTGCAATAATATGCCCTTCGGACCATCTCCCTTTCTTTCCTCACTCGCAGAAAAGAAAAGGGGAAATAATAGACTACAGCATGCTTACTGTGGTAATCCCAACCATTGCCAACACAAAATAGAAACACTTATTGAATGTGGATACTTACGAGAGGCTTTTTTGGGCAAATTAGTCCAATCATGAGGGCTCATCTTTGTTTCCGATGCATTAATCAGTTCATGAAGAGCTTGATTGACCTGAATTGTTTTTTTAAAAAAAATAATCAGTATTTGGAATGTTATATATAGTCAAACATAAATAAATAAACCCTGTATACAATCTTGGTATCCCTTGTGATGTATTTCTGATAGTGGTGAAATATTATAGAGTTATTTGTTAGTTTATGTCCAAATTCACAACAAAAAATTTTAAGCATTCAACCAAATTTCGTGATTTGATTCATGGACTTGCATATAATTCTACATAGCAACATATGCATCTACTATTGTTCTTAATCTATTGCAATGTTATAATATTTCCAGTTTCACCAGAAAAAGACTATTTCTCATCAATGTTCATATTTTTATCCGTTACACTCAAATAATAACGATTCTCTATTGCAGAACCAATGCTGTGCCGCAATGCAATGGTGAAGTCATGCCATATCTCTATATAAGATAGCAAGAATACCTCTTTGGTCCTCTCATGACTCACTAGATGCCCACCGTGGAGATCAACCATTCTAGCAACGGGCTGCAACTTCTCTGCAAGCCTCCTTGCATAATATATTTGAGCAATGATATCATGCCTAGCCATTCAGAGCACCTCAAATTTGTCATAAGCAGGTACAAGTTCTAAGTGATGTAGTCATTAGCATATCATCACTAAATATGGCAAAAAATCTTCAAGTTCTTTTCTAATATGTAAATGGTAACACTACAAATGCATGCGCCTAGGGTGCACCATTCATTTAAGAAAAACAAAAGAATCTACCATCTGCATCTAAGACCTTTGACCACAGATTATATGAAGTAGCTAGTACAAAATAAGTTATCTTTAAAGCTCCAGAACTCGTTAGCAAAACACTTTCAAGTATGCTACTAGCGCATAGTTTTTACTTTTGATCTTTCCTTCAAAGAGTTGAGACATACATTCTGAAATGCATTGAAATACATGGAATATGATTCATTTCCTTGTTAAATACAACGTATTGTGCATCTTTTCAATATTTACATCTTCAAATTATCATTAAAATAATTTGACAATAGAAAAAACAAGCCAGAGCCTGAATCTCACCATCTGTCTATGGTTCTTTGATTTTGCTACTCTCAACTCATCAATCAATAATGTCATTTTCTACATTTTGGAAAGGTTTTTTATGTACTAAATACTCGGATACTTGAAAGAATGTAGAAAAGATGATTTAGACTTTGTATTTTCTGCAAGATAGACCACTCATTTGCATTGCATCCTTGAGCATTTTAGCTTCTTTTGGATTATTAGATAGACAACTTTTTAACGAATCAAATTCTCCTCTGCTCAAGAAATTAATATAATGAAAAGCTGTAAATTCATCTCACTGAAACCACATGAAAACTTAATTTTGTAAGAAATTATTGTCATTCATGTGCTTCAGTATACCATTTAACATAATTTTCCTTCAACCACATGTTCTTTTCTAACTAGTTAGTAACTTTAAATATTTCATTCGCCCACATAATAAAAATCTCAAAACACAATACATAGGTATTGGAATATTAGATAAATGATTTGACAGAAAGTGTATTCCATGGAAACAAGGACGAGCAACAGCAGTACCAAAGAGTTTGTAGCCCAGTGGTAGTAGTCTCTTGCAACAAGAGGTCATGAGTTCAAACCCCAGCAGAATAGTTTGATAGGAGCCTTGGGTGTGTGAGTTTTTTTTAAAAAAAAAAAAAAAAAAAGGGGGAGCAACAGCACTGCTTTCAGAGAATCACTATTACCTGCCATGTATGACTGATACAAGAAATCCAGCAGATCTGATCAATTCAATTTCTGTGCGTGACATCTTATGTGTCCAGCATGCATTGACTTGACCATCAAAACCATAACTAGATTGCATCCCGGTTGATGATATACCTTTGACATATTCCTGCAAGAGAGTTTTTATTAAGGTCCAACAAGAGACATCCTTGTGTGATAAATGGAAGATCAATTTAAGTAGCAGTCACTGCCACAACAAATTAACTAGGGTCTCATGCAGAATTGATATAAATTATTTTAAGAGCTGAGAGCCGAGGCTAGGCCTAATCTCATCCTGAGGACAAACTTCACTGCTTTCAAAATTTGATAGGAGCAGGGTAACATACATGTCTATAATAGCCGCATCTACAGATGTCAGTGTACACTTTTGGGTCACTTTCCAGATAAAATGCTAGATCAGAGCTTAATTCAGCAATATAAATACAAAATAAAGGATGGTGATTTGAAGCAGTTGTTTTCATGAAAAAAATAGCATCTGACATTTGTTAATTGCTTCATTCTATGATGTTAGTATGCACTCCAAAGAAACAAATTCTAGCAACTCACAGTAAATACAAGGAAAGAACAAATTTTAAGATTTATGATAATCATGCTTTTCTTACTTGATACAGAATTGCTCTTCTTGTGCTAGACCCAACATACTCATCAAGATATTCCTGCAGACCAGAAATAAACGTCATGTGAGTTCCTGCAGTTTACAAAACTGACATGAGAAACTATCGGAGAGGAAAGAAAAAGTGTATGCCAAGTTTGTCTTCGCACAATCCATTTGATCTTTTTGGAAACACTCCTGGTGGGGACGCTTTCTTTCTATTTTCTAATGTAGTAATAAGCCTCTATATAAAATTTCTCTAAAGCTATCCAAATTTCTAGTCTGATCCTAATTATTTACCTTTGTGTAGTGGGTGTCCAAGTCAACTGCAGCCCTTTGCTCAGGAGTCTTTGCCTTCAAAAAACGGATAGCAACAGATATTGTTCGACGGTCAAGCTGCAAGAAACGAAAAAAGTTCATCTTTTTAATCATATGAATTGATTTTTAATATAGAAATGACAATACACTTTATGCTTCTCCGAAAAAGAAAAATGCACTTTGTGGCTGTAGGCCAGTGAATACCAAATAGCTTTATATATGGATGAGAGCTTATAAAACAAACAGATGTGAATTGCTTTCTACTATAAGAGATCCCTGAGACTGCCATACATCATGTTCTTGTACACCTCACTGATAACCTATACAACCAGAGAAGGCCCAGTTCTCTCCGTGTCCTCACGAAATTGTAATACCAAGCTTATCTATTGACGATCAAAATGTCAAAGGCTTATCGTATATGTAATAAAACAAGTATCCAACATTAACAAACAGTGTTTTAAATGTTGTTACTAAAATGTGTGAAGAACAAGTATCTATTGATTTCAAGATTTAAATCCAAAGAAAAGCTATCATGCCACTGGCAAATTCCCAAAAGGCCAAAGGCTGAGTAGCATAAAGGATCATCTTCAAACTACGTTAGATTGGGAAAGAAAAGTTCACACAGGTCTCAACAGTTGTAGCTGGGAACTTAATTGCTGTTGATTTTTGTCATCGACTAATCCCGTACCAATCTTAAACATTACGATGTCTATATTAATTAGATTAGATCATGCTTGGACTGGATACCAAATCCTCAAATCACATCAAAACCAAGGTCATTTTTTTTATCCCTTTTTTTCCCTATAGCACAGGCAGGGCTGGCGCCCAAGTTGCAGGCCGTGGATTGCGACTTTGATGTGATTAGTGCACATAAGAAAATAATAAAAATGATGAAGTTTTGCCATAAAACACACAAACGTTTATGCAAATAGCAAGTTAATCCACACTCAAGCAATAATTTAAAAAACTGCCACGTCTGACTCCACAAATATCCAATCAGTGTTTTTATATTGAAGAGGAAATTATTGACTGTCAACCATACTAAACAGTGTGGATTACATGGTTTGACTAAAGGAAGGTCATTAGAGGTTCCCGAGCTAGCCAATCAAAAATCAACCATTGAAATGTTCAAAATTGACTCCTGACAGCTTTGAATATTGTCAACAGTTGGTAGAACGACTGAGTAAAACAGCTTCAATTTAGTCATGCAGTTCAAATCTGACCTAACCCACAACTCTTCCAGCATACTATTGCCATGAAAGAGTCTTCACCTTGAACAGCTTTAAGTTATTTTAAACTGAAATCCTGGGATTAATTTGTGCTCCCAGTGCAGGAACCAAATAAATTTCGAAATATTGCCTCTCAGGCCTAGCAAATAGTGCAATCTTCTGATTCTTGGTGTCATATCTCTCCTCCTTGACAAGCTCCATCAAGAAGGAATCTTTTGCTCGTCTGAATTGACTTGGACAAAATATCTGGCTTGACTTGCACAACATCAAGCTACGGTACTTGCCAAGTTGGAGTGTGGAAATGTCTTAGTCCTCAATTTTATGTAGTTCTGGATTCCTAACTTCGGAGTAATACAAATTAATGAGGAGCTTATACCAAACGTTGAACAAAGCTAGAACATGGAGAGGACAAAAAGAAGTATAATGTCAAAGACAAATATCAGGGCTTTCATTTTATTAAAACATTGGGACAGCGATACATACATATCGAAGGCAGTATTTCACACTTTCATAAAATAAGGACATTTTCATAAAAACATAACCAACAAGATGAAAAGGAAAAACAGAAGGCAATTCTAGACCCTCACACATCTGAAAATTCTTTTTACTTGTAAAACAACTAATATTGGGGACTGAAAATCATGCAATCACACTACCTTCTTGCTTTAATTCCTTCACCTGTCATCTAGCAGCAGTTTTCTATGCTGCTTCAGATGAGTATCTAACAAAGATTCTCAGTGACCAATGAAGCAATACAAATCTATAGAAGCCACCTAGTAGCATGGCACTGGCATAAAAGTGCCGACAATCAGGGTTTTGCATCACATAACTACAATTCCCACCAATGACCAACCTTAGAGCCTATATAGTTAATGATAGCAATGCCACCACATTCTACTCAGACTAAGACTCCTTGGAAATTTTCTCTGATGAATCACTATTGAAAAGAAAAATCACAACGATAAGAAGCACTACTTAGAGATTTAATATGGTCAATTTATGCTTGTAAATGATGCACACAGCACTTTTAGAGTTTATAAAGTAAGTATTTAGTATAATACTGAGCAAACGCAACCAAGATACTTTTATCAAGTAAACTATAGAAAGTACACACCTTATCACCTGATATTGAAGTAGATTCACATGTGAAAGAAAAAAAAAACCTACTTGTATTCATTCATTAAGAAAAAGAAAAAGAAAGCAATTCCTTTCAAGTCCTTCCCTTCGTCTAAAGATGCAAGTATGTAGACCAAAGACGCAATAGATAAATAAAAGCAATCAATTCCTTCAACTTGATGTTTACAAAAATATGAAATTTTATAAACTCAAAATATTCGTGTTAGAAAGAGAATTCAAAAGAAAATGGAATGGTGTGAATTTTAGGGAACTAAGTGCTCAAGAGTTTGTAGAAACATGAAGAAAGCACAGCTGAAAAGCAACATGAAGATATAATACCTTTGGAAGACATTCAAAACCTCCGCCAGTTACATTGAGTAATGCCAAAGATAAAACTCTGTCCGGCACCATTGCTGCTAACTTGCAAGCTATCATAGCACCTGTTTCAACAGTAACATATTAACCAAAAGCAGAATCAAATTGTTGCAAGGCATTTGATTTCAGTTACATTAAGTAATGCTAAAAAACAAAAACAAAAAACTCGGAATCATGGACTCACCCATTGAATGGCCAAATATATGAGCTTTTCTCCAACCCAAATGATCCATTAAAGCAATTGCATCTTTTGCCATTATTTTTGTTCTGCACTCAGCCCAAAAAAAAGCCATCACTGGAACCCACACGCCTTTGCTTAAAAAATCAACTACTTTTTTTTTAATCAACAACCAATTACATTGCTAAGCAACACAAGTATCAACAACTAATGGATCCAAGCTGGAGAAGTTACCAAGCTGGAAAAGTTAAAGTTACTTCTATTTCTCTAATCTACACAACTATTTATAACAAAGCTTCATTTCTTTTCAGTTTTTCTCAAAACCAAACAACAATAATAACAATAAGGTCAGAGGAAAGTTGCAAAGCAAATGGAGATTATAAATAAAATAAAAACACAAAACCCAGATCAGAAAGACCCCAAAACTACAAAAAGAAATCATAAAACAAGTCCATGAATCAAAATTCAAATGACCCATGATAAAAGGATCAAACTTGAATCACCCCACATTAAAAAAGTAAACCATTAAATAAAATTAGTATTAGAAAAAAAAACTCACGAATATTCAGATTTTTTGGTGGGCACAGAACTCCTTCCCATACCACGATTATCAAAGGCACAAACTTGAATACCATTACCACCATAGCCCCCATCCCCATTATCACCTGAATTCTGATCAACGGTTCTCATTCCATCGTCGTCCTCATTGGACCTCTCCACACCTGTAAGTCCCTTTATTTGTGGAACCCATGAATTATGTGTTCCAGCCAATCCTGCCCCCATCAAACAATCCACAATTCATCAATCAAAGAACCCAATTCAAAACATAAGAGGAAAAAAGATTTCATTTTTTATGATTTTTATTACCTATAATGAGAAGAACTTTTGTGGGTCCATGACCATAAGTTTTGTAGAAAATTTTGATGCCATTGTTGTTGCTGCTGCTGCTAGCAGCACCAACCCCATCGTTTAAACTGGTCTGGTGCTTAGCTACCTCACAGAACGGCATGTTGTTTTGCGTTCTTTCTATACAAACACAATCTGCATAATATAGTACAAATGCAGAGACAGAGAGAAGGGTTTTCTTAGCTCCAAGGTTCCAGAAAGAAAAGGAGAAAACAGAGAGGAAAATGAGTTGGCAACTTGTGGTGTCTTTTATGGGGAGTGAATTATAACTTAGTTCCTATTTGTTTGAAAAACACAATATTAGTTCCTGTTAGTTTTAAATCTTACAATATAGTCCTTAATCAGTTTGACTTCAATCTATTAACCGTTACCTTTCCAATCAATCCGATTGAAGAAGGAATAATACTCTTCTTACATAATTATTTTACAAAATTAATTTATCGATAGAATATTAACAGTAAAATGGATTTTTATGCATTAAATAAGCAAATTTTGTTAATAATTTTTATAATTCTAATAATTGATATTTTTTTGTAAGTGAATTTCATAGTACTGATATGTAAAAATATTACTTTTAAAAAAAAGCGTTTTTTTTAGCTTTTGAAACTTTTTGATAAAGTTAAAAAAAATTATTTTGAATTCATTCGGAAGCCAAAAACTATAGAATAAAGTTTTTGAATTTTATTTAACATAAAAAAATTAATATCACATATCATCAAATACTCTGTGCATCTACGTAGATAACTATCACAACCATAACTACTATTTCGTTGCCACCATTCGAAAAGACATAGCCAACCAAATGAATCTTGTGAGAGAAGGAAAATATAAGGATTAAATGTGAAAATTGTGGAACTTTGTTGACTAACATAGTCGTTTCTTTAAAATACAAGGACTGAGATATAATTTAGTCTTGATTTGGGGATTAAGACGGTAGGTTGGAGAGTGGACAGACGATAATAGGATGCTTTGTTGCCACGTAGGAATGGTGGGCTGTTTCTGTTCACCTAAAAGTCAAAGTCATTAATTTGGGTTATGGTTCAACGTGGGAAAATTTAGAAGATTCCAAAGTGGTAACGTCTAGCACATAAATAAGTAGTGGTGGGTCTATGATGGTGAAGTCCACTCATTCATCAACTAGTCAAAATATCATTTCATATATATATATATATATTTTTTTTTTGTGGAATTCTTTGATTTTGTTGCATCTTGTTGTAACATTGAGTGAATTATAAATTAGTCAATTGATTTCAAAAACTACTTATTTAGTCAATTTTGTTATTTTTTAATTAATTTTGATTTTTTCAAAAAAATAGAAAAAAATTAAATTGACCACGGTCAATATATATTAAAATAACTTATTGATTCGTTTATTGAAATGAGAAAGACTAATTTAAATATATGTTAAAATAACTTATTGATTCGTTTATTGAAATGAGAAAGACTAATTTATAATTTACTCTTGTAACATTGTGAGTGAAAATATGAAATTAGTGAAATGATAAAATACTTACATATAAATATATATTGAATGTTATAAAAATATATTTTTACTCGTCAAACCAATAAAATATAAGATGATCATGTTAGCCGCTCTACTTTTAAATAAGTAAAAATATAAAAAAAGACATTTTATAAATTAGAAAAAATTTAAATTAGTTGTGAATAGTACTTGTTAAATGAACTAAATATTTAGCTTTTAAAATTAGAAGGATTGATTAATTTGTTTCTTGAAATGAGAATGACTGATTTATAATTTGTAACATTGTAAGTGAAAATATCAAAATAATGAAATGGTAAAATATTTATGTATAAATATATATCGAATGTCATAAAAATATATCTTTTTTAATTGTCGAATCAATAAAATATAAGATTGTCATGTTAATAGCTCTACTTTTAAATAGGTAAAAATATAAAAAGATCGATAGAAAAAAGATATTTTATAAAATAAAAATATTAAATTAATCGTGATCAATACTTTTTAAAAGAACTAAATATTTAGTTTTTAGAATTAAAAAGATTGATTAATTCGTTTCCTAAAACGAGAAGTACTAATTTATAATTTACTCTTGTAACATTGTAAGTGAAAATATGAAAATAATAAAATAATAAGATATTTATGTATAAAATATATATTGAATGTTATAAAAATGTATTTTTTATTGTCGAATTAATAAAATATAAGATCATCATGTTAATTGCTCTACTTTTAATTAAAGATAATTTGTGATTTTGTGTGATAGGATGTAGTATTCATATTATATTTAATGGAAAAAATTATATTTAAAAAAATTAAAATTTGAGTATTTTATTTAAAAAAAAAATTGCTGTTTTTTTTAATAGATTTTTAAAATGAAATATCTTACATAATGAAATTAGGAAAAAAAGAAGAAGCAAAGGAATAACTCTTGCTTCCTAAATCAAATATTTCTCTATAATTAACACAATTAATTATATTTATTTATTTTATTGTAAAAAATAAATTTTACAATACAAGAAATAAATATACCTAATAGTTGCTAATTTAAAAGGATTATGATTCTAATTACTTTTCAAGCAAACAATTGGTTTTGGGCTTCATTGAAGAGTTCAAAATATAAAAAAATGGGCCTGTAAACGGCCCATCAGCGCATATTTTACTTAAACCAATCGACAGATCGCTCAATAAATTTTGTATTTCCCTTATTCCACACGGGTCGGGTTCGCGAATCATTTCTCCGGCCACCAGTCCTTCTCAGTCGCTGGAACACTGCCACTGTTTCCTTCTCTGGGTCCCTAAATTGGGTTGGGTATCACTGCTATTTACTGCGTCCTCTCAATATTCGGGTCTTGGGTTTTTAAGGTTTATAAAAAATGGAAGACAGAGAAGAGGAGAAAGCTGGATTAGAAGACCGATTGAGCGACTTACGTGACAACATAATTCACGAAATCCTTTCTTACCTCGACATAAAACAAGTTATCCAAACTTCTGTTCTGTCAAAAAGATGGAAAAACTTGTGGGCTTCTGTTCCCGATCTAAATTTTAACAGCAAAGGTGACACTGAACTAACTTTTCCTAACTTCTTCCGAAGAGTTCTGTCCAAACGGGGAGCTTGCAACGTTCGGAGAGTTGAATTCTTTTCCCGTTTGCCTCTTCGTGTTTCATCAATGGAGGGTTTAATAAATTACGCAGTGTCTCATCAGGTTGAGGATTTTCGGTTTGTTTCTGATGATATCCAACTTATTTCTTTACCAGCATGCAAGTCCTTGAAAACCCTTTTCTTATCTCGATGTAAATTTGGTGATTTTCTGACATCTTTAGGTTTCGATTTTGCCAATCTTACCTCGTTGGACCTCTACGTTTGTTGTTTTTGTTATTCTGGGAATGATGTTGGTGACCCTTTTGGTAGTTGTCCGAATTTGAGGAGTTTATGTCTCCGTTATTGTCGGTTTCCATCTTTGAAAAGGTTGAAAATAACTGGGTTTCAGTTGGTTAGCTTAGAAATTCAGGGGTTTGGGTATGGTGATCGAGGGTTACAAGAAGGTTGCGAGGTTGAGATTTTTGCACCGAATCTGTTGTCTTTTGTGTACAAATTCTCCAATCCAGTGGATTTCTGTGGGCTTCATTTTCCATCTCTTGAGTATGTTGAGGTTCATGTTTGGCTCCATGGTACTGAAGAGGCTACTGATCATGACAAAAAAAGGGTCAGTCTATACTTGATGGATATGTTTGAAGGTTTTGGTAATGCACAATCTGTCAAACTCTATTGTGAAACCATTCAGGTATTTATCTCTAATCTTTACTCGAGCTGCTGCCGCCTTATTTATCTGACACTGAATTTTGCTGTCCTGGCCTTTTCACTAGGTTCTTAATTTGATTGAGGGTTTACTAGAACAACAGTCTTCTCCCTTTAAAAGATTAAAGAAAGTGGAGGTACAGGCAAACCTTGAATCATTCACGTTACCTGCTCATGTGACGAAGTACTTGCTTGCTGGCACAATCGGTCAGAACTATATCTAGAGGTAATTTCCGAGTCAACATGGAAAGCCATCTGTTCTTAGTCTGGATGAGATTAGCTCGATTAACTGCATTGGTTTTCTTAATCTGTTCTTAATCAGGATGTGATTAGCTATATCCACATCATTGCTCTACATTAGGCAATGTGGATCGACATCATTGGCATGTGTTTGGGAAACTTGCAATTCTAGCCTTTATTTTTCTTCCTCGTTTTCAAAGAATTGATGGTCAATGTTTAACCATATCTGCTTGATGCTTCTAAATGCAAATAAATTTGATAAGTAAAAGTTTCGTTTACAATCCTATTGTGTTGACCAATTGATAGAATATAATTTGAAATTGGATTCTGTACTTGTTTCATGTGTGCTTTTTTGGCAATAGAAATCTAGGTCGGTGATCAACAGTTGGGATCAATCTGAACCCATTGTGGGTTTGTGACAGTGGTTGGCATGGCTCTATGTTGTCAACTGTTTTATTTGTAGTGTGCACTCCTAACGAGTTTAAGGAAACAATAACATGGATGCAATTCTTGCTTGACATTGCCTGTCTCCACTGAGTCAACAATTTTAGACTAGAGTCAGGAACAAAACCTTGTTACCTTCTACCTAATAGATGTTACAGGTGCTCAGCATTATACTGTCTTAGGTATTCCAATGACTGATAAAGTGCAAGTTGATTCTTTCCTTCTCTCACAAGTTATTTGAGCTGATTGGAACATACCTTTTTTCCCCTCTCTAATACGTTTACTTTTCCAATCTACATCAACTGTTGCATCCTTGCTTATCTTAAAAAATGGCACAACTTTCTTTAATCTTGACTTCCTTATTCATTTGGATCATCAAATTCTGTCATTTGCTTTTATATGTGCGTATCAATTTAGTCTTGGTATTCCAATGACTGATATAGGGCAAGTTCATTTGTCTTGACAATTTGTTATGTACAAATCGAAAATTTAGTTATGCATCACCTTTATTTAGGGAGAGTCCTTTTTCTCTGTTGGTTGTGGGTGTGTGTGTCTACCTGTTTTGGTTGAGCTTGCATTTGTTCACCTTTATATGAGTTCCGCTCTTCATGTTACCTATACTTTTGTTCGGATTGCATTGTCTGGTCAGATTTAATCTTCTTTGTAGATCTTTACATTACGATGGTCTCCCAATTTTGTCATTGAATTTCAACACTCTTTTTGTCTATGCTTGTTAAGCTGCAAAATCCTAGGTAGGTGACCGAGTTTTAAATAACTAGGAATAATAGTATGGATGCATTCCTTGCTTGATATGGAATTTGCGATCAATCCCAGCCCATTAAGAGATATATGGATGTAATATCTATCTTGACCGAGTCGGCATCGGTCTATGCTGTTAATGTGTTTTAAATGCAATGTATAAACATAATGAGTTAAAGGAATAATAGTATGGATGCATTCCTTGCTTGATATTGACCTGGTTTCCATGTTGTTCTCTATCCAGTCAACCTTTTTAAACTAGAATCAGGAACAGAACCTTGTTACCTACTATCAAATTGACAATATTAATACTTCAGCATTTTATTGTCTTAGGTACTCCAAAGACTTTGATTTGGTGTTCATTGATTCCTCCTCTCTATATGTCAGGTTATTGAGCTGATTGGAACATGCAAAGTGTTGTTGGACTTTTCTTTTTTCTTTTTCTCTCTCCAATACTTTTCTGCTCTGCATTAACTGCTGCATCCTTCTTTATCTTAAATACTAAAACAACTTCCTTTAATGCTTACTTGTTCATTCGGAGCATCGAAAAGTATTATTTACTTTTATATGTGCGAGTCTATTCAGTCTTGGCACCCTTTTCTTTGCTTTTCTGTTATCCAGTTCCTATTGTCTCGACAATGTTGTGAAGTAGTCACTGAAGATTTATTTGTCTGATATATCACCACTTTATCTTCTTCCAGGTGGGAACCTAATGATTAGCAGCTGCATATTTCCTAGGAGTAACTTTTAGAAGTGGTGCCTACATTCATATCAACCTTTCGTTTTGCTTACCTTTCTTTTCCAGCAAAGGAGTCCATATGTTGTGAATTTTCTGTCTTGGATTACCAAGTAAGTGCATGGATAGCTAGCCTTATCTTCATAACAAAGCTGCCAGAAACGCTGAAAAGGAATGCATGATAAGTTATGCACAATTGTTAAGAAAGAAAGGTTTAATTATCTAGTCGCCATTCTATTCTTTTTTTTTCCCCCTTGTACATTCAATTTCTTTCCTTCAGAAACGCTTGCCAGAGGACAATTAATGCATAAATCTTTAAATGCAAAATATGGAAATTTTTTACCATTCATGTATTGCTGATCCACCCACAATCACTACACGTGATTTCACAAAGAAAAATATATTAAGATAGATATTACACAATGATTTCAAAAGTATTGTCTGCATTCTATTTTTATAGTTTCCAAAATAATATGATAATTATGAACATTTTTGAAAAGCATGAATAAAAAAGAACAATATGATGTATGCATTCTTAATATGTTAAAAAATCCAATATAATAAGAGAATATTGTATTGTTACTAAGTATGAAAAAATGATTATGTATATATATATAGTCCTCATGTGACCCAAATATTCTCAACAAAAAAAAAATTAAACTAGATATTTTGTGAAGCCAAGCAAAGAAAAAAAGACAAGCAATTAACCGAAAAAGTAAACCTATTTGCTTAATAATAATTAGATAACATAATCTCTTAATCTCAAATCTTGGTCAACTTTACAAGTTTATTATAATTGAAAATAAAAAATAGAAGAAAAAGGGAAGTTTAAGCATGCTAAACTAACCATACTTGTTAAATCCGTCCTAAACGAGACCAATCTAAAAGTTCAAGTTATTTGATTATTGGATTTATACATAAATTGCTAAGTTAATCCAAATATACTTATAAAAAATTATAATTTTTATTTCAATCGGGTTAGATTTTTATTGAATCGGGAAGGAATTGGCCAAATCAAATAGAGTTTAATGACCTGGTCCAATTAGAAGCCCAATTTGACGGGACATAAAGTCATTTTGATTTCCAGTTTAGTCATTAATGAAACCAAAATTTAGATTTTTACTTCTTAATAAAACACTAAAAAAAAATCAAGAAAAAAAATTACATTTCATATTTCAACCTAGTAGGGTTTTAACCGAGTTGCAAAAGAATCAACCTAATCAAATCGGATTTAAGGATCTGATCCACTTAGAAACCCAATTTGACGATGCGGAAAGTCATTTTGCTTTTCGATTCTACCATTAATGAAATCAAAAATCAAATTTCTTTTCTTAATAAAACACTAAAAAAATCGAGAAAAATTACATTTCTTATTTCAACCGTTGGATTTTAATCAACTCGTGAAGAAATCGACATAATAAAATCTGGTTTAATAATCTAATTTTGTTCGCTAGGGTTTTGGTGTTACTAATATTATTTTTGTCAATTAGTGGTGGAGATAGTTGTTTGACTCCCAAACAACACTTTGAAATTGTCAATGATTTGCTAGATTCCAATTTAAAATTACATTGCAAGTCAAAGGACGATGACCTTAGTATGCATGTTCTTCTTCTTCGAAAGAGATTTAAATTTAGCTTTTGTCATAATATTTTTAATAAAACTCTATTTTTTCCAGCTTTCAATGGAGAAAAGAATCCAAATATTTTGATATTTATGTAGACAAGAGAGATCATAATTACCGTGACTCATGTACTTGGTCTATACATGTAGAACGATCATGTAAAGTTGATAGCTATGAGCTCGTTAATTGTTTCGATAGAATTGACCCTAAAATACTCAAATTACATACATTGGGTTTTATTGCTTGCATGAACTAAATAAAGAGCATTCTAATAAAATAATAATAATAATAATAATAATTGAAGAGCATTTCTTTCTTCTTCTTCTTCTTTTTTTGGTAGACCGTGCTTAATTATATATATTGATTTTATTTGCTTTACATGAAATCGAGAACGAATAAGGTTTGTTTCCTAGTCCAGCATATTATTGATATAGATATGCATATCCTCGAATGAATCCAAGTTAGAAAAGAATTACAATTAGGTTTAGTCCACCAATTTGTTGTTAATAATTAGTAAAGTTTCATTCTCTAACTTTTCAAAAAATTTTGTTGTCTTTCTAAGCTAATTTGCTTTCTTCTATTCAAAGTTATTACTTATTTGTTCTTCTCTTGAGATGGCATTAGAATTGGTTTGCACCTTGATCATGGTGTTTATAGACAAAACATGAATGGTTTTTCATGATACTATGGATTTCGAGACATCTACATTGACTATAATTGATATACTTATCTCATTGAAAGGATTGAAAAAATAAAAATGATGTTCTCTAGAGTTTTGCAAGCATTTAGAATGAACATCAATGTTAATGGTGCTAGGAGGTGGCCGACGTAGCCACTATAATGATTTTGTCAATATTTGAGTGTATTGTATAGTATTTAAGGTTATTTTGTCTTGTATTGGCCTTTGTTTGCCTTCTATCTATCATTTTTAGTTTTTATGTGTGTGTGTACATATATGTATGTATATATGTATGTATTGCCTATCTTGTTTATAGAGGGGGTAACCTTTATATATAATGGAAAATATAGGATATAAGGTATACATGTAGGATGTTGGACCGGATGGCGATAAAACTATAAAGAAGATGATCCATAATTATGAAGAAGCCTAGCTTTATAGAGAGCCTAGATTTTGTATCTCATCAATTTGTACCGAGAATCTATTCCTTTTGTTGTTGCTTCTTGTGGTAACCGTTTCTAATTTCTTCATAATCTAATACTCCTTACAAACAAATAATGGCCAAGAGAAATGAGATTAAACTATCGGTTTGTTTCATAAGAACTGAAAATGGCTAATGGATAAAAGTTTAATCAAGACATGAGTAACTTGATCCTGATTGGAGATAAACTAAAACTACGACTCACCCTATGCAACTTTATCTTTAACAAAGTAGTAATCAATCTCCATGTGATTGGTTCTTGCATGAAACATAGGACTAGCAACAAGATAGGTAGCTCCAATATTGTCACACCATAGAATATGAGGAAAAGATCTACAAATACCTAATTTATTAAGTAAAGACACAAGCCAAG